ACCTTCTGTAAATAATGCGAGCTCTTCAGTCATGAACATATAAACATACCCCCCTTTATAGTTGTGCTCAGTATAGTGAATAGATTGTGGTATTTGGGTGACATCTGGTCCCTGACTGTTCAAAGTGTAGCAGCTGTTGCTCCCCATGATGATGTTCATCTTCCTCACAGCCATGTGACACTTTAAATGTTCTTGTCTCCACTCCAGCTTCTCAGAAACTCTTTGAGCTGTCACTTACCAAGTCTGCATCTCAGGAAGTGCTTTGTCCTTTCATTATGTATTATCTGTGGGGTCAGAAACCAAGTAGTCTAGCTGTTGTTTTGTTTATGCAGAAGAATATATAGATGTTTTTGAGATGTTGAGGTGAGTGCTTTTGGTTTAGATGTTGAATAACAATTGTGTCACATCTGACACAAACCGAGAATTATTACTGTTGTAGGATTTGTCAATCAGAGTAAATCAGAGAAATTACTTATGGTCGTTTAAATTTTATAGATATAAAATACATATTGTTTACATTTATATATACATTTATATGTTAAGTTTCAAATGTGTTTTTTAAGTCATATAGCGTTTAAAGTTTTAAAGTCTTTTTATATGCTCACTAAGGCTGCATTTATTTGATTTAAAATACAGTAAAAATAGTAACGTTGTGAAAGGTTATTACAATTTAAAATAATTGATTTCTATTTCAATATATTAAAAAAATTATTTATTCCTGTGATTAAAGCTGAATTTTCAGCACCCAGTCTTCTGTGTCACATGATCCCTCAGAAATCATTCAACATTTCTTATTTTATATTTGTTTTTTTAATAGTATAGGCAAATATAGGAAAGTCATTGATTTAATGGTTCCTTAAAAGATTTCGAATTGTTTAGGAATAGTTCAACTCCTAATGGTTTGTAAATAATAATTCAATCAATAAGTGATTTTATTGTTCTTTTGAAGATAGCTGGAAGTGAAGTGTTTTATGAAGTGTTCCTTTCTTTGAAGGGCTTGATCAATAGTTTCCATATTGTGAAAACCTGGTGCTGATTTCTCACTATTGTTTGGCATCCCTCTTCCAGCAGATCTACGCTCTCTTTATGAACTATGAGACACACGCTGCTCACTTCATTTCAACAGGGCTGACTGTCAACCTCAACAAAAGAGTCTGACCCCTGCGCTGCCTCCTCTCTGCAGATTAGGGCAATTCCCCATGCAGATGTCTTGTGCCCAGCCTTGTGTCGTCTCCCCAGCGCCTTTTACAAATCTAGCTTTGACTGATTATGTCCTGACAGCTCCAGTGTTGTCTCACTTACACAGATTGACATAATCATTAGGGGGTGGGCTGACCCAGACCCAAAGCACCCGGTTTTATCTGTTTGAAAGTGGCCCCTCCCACTTCTCCACATTCTTCACCAAAACAGCTGAGACTCTCACAATCTTGCTCAAAAAGAGGCAGAACCCCTCGGCCCTTCCCTGCCCACCCCTAGCATTCATCATCCTGAAGTTAATTGGTGTGGGCTTTAAGCAAATTTCCTCCACTCAAACCATCAGCCTGCTGCCTGAAGACGCAGTGCAGAACGTGACTGCTGACCCGCCGCCATACGCTGCCTATTGATTTAACTGACGAAGCAGACCGCTCTGATAGAATTCCAGGCTGGAGAATGCATTATCCCTATGGAAGACAAGAGGAGGGAGGGAATGTGGCCATCAATATGCAAGATGAATGGGGGTTAAACTTAACCTTGATTTAAGGTTTCTACTTGAACTTTCCCACAGCTAATCTACCCCTTCACTGTCCTGTGCTAAAATCACAAACGCTTTGCTGGTGCCTGACTAAGTGTGGTCTTTATTGAAATGCCAGGAGAGGAATAGATCAAAGCTGAAGGAACAATCTTGGTTTTAATTGATTATAATTCAATTGATCTAATGGAAAAAGGAACCGATGAGCGCATAATTTTCGCTAAACGAAAACCTCCAGTTTATTTACGATTTAAAATCCACCTTGATTAAGACGTCACATATTAATGTGTCACATATTAATCTACAAACTACTCTCGGACCAGAGAAACGAGGCATTAGTCTTACGACCGCATGTCTTCACGTCCCTGTAATGAATGCAGTTCACTGACCCATAAAATAGAATAAAAAAAGCAATCTTGCTCTGTGGATCCACATTATTACTATTTCACCCTCCTCCTCTTCATCACTGCCTTTCCCTTAGATCTGCTGAGGTCTCAGTCAGGAAGAAATGGGCGTTTGTGACAAGCCTCTCGTCGTAGGGTTAATTAAACAGCTCACTTTAGCACCGCCACTGTCATTCGCCCAAACACGGATCCATCAGTCACACACACACACTTTATCCCCACGCGCACACGCCATACACGTCAAAGTGTCAGAGGTTCCCGGTCCCACAGTGACGGCCCGGGAACATTAAATCTGATCTGGTTTATCAATTATTCCCGTGATTGCTCGCACGGATTAGTCTATAGTACTCAAGGCATTGCTGAAATTTATCACCCTTCTGCCATCTTTGCATTTGCAGCATGGAGTGGGTGCCTTTCCAGTGCTGTGCTGCTGGGTGGAATATGGGTGATGTATTTTTCTTATTTTATACCCAGCTGGAGAAATGGCCTTTATTATGCCACTCATACAGCTGTCCAGACAATCCTTCAGCAAATCACCGCATGGCACTTTACTTTATTGTGTTCATTAATAAATATCCTTGGCTTTCACCTAACACAATTCACAAACCTCTAAATGACAGAACTGTATGTGAACTGAGCACTTAAAGCAATAATGCATGCTGTTCTAAACTTTTTGTTGTTGTTTTCATGGAACACAAAAGATGAATTTTTTAACAATATCCTGGCTGTCCGTGTCTGTTTTGAAAGTGAATGGGGAATCTCATTTCTGTCCTGCAGGTTTGGAATGACATTAGGGTGAGTACATGATTGACTAATTGACTTGTTTGTTTGTTTGTTTATTTATTTATTTACTTATTTATGTGTTTGTTTGTTTGCGTTATTTTTATAAATTTTATTAATTGTTTTATTGTATTTTATTGGGGTTTTTTTGTATTGTAGTTTTTGCTTTGTTTTATTCTATTTTATTTATTTTTTTATTTGTTTCATTCCATTTTATAAATTATTTGTATTTTTTATTTTTATTGTATTTTATGTTTAGTTTTATTTGATTATTTTTATATATTTTGTATTTTTATCTTTTCTTTTAGTTTTATTCATTGAATTTTTTTATAAGCTGAATCGTATTGAATGTTTGTTTATTATCTGTATCTGCCATGAAATAGTCTTTTAAAATGATATGGCAATAAATTCAAATACAAACAAACTATTTTATTTTAATGCTTAACCATCTGCATTGAAACTATATATTCCTCAATGATTTTGGAAATTTGCATCAGGAGTGATTGTGTCAGTAGTCACTATTTCAGTCTGGTGTGCCAACATATCATCTGCAGTAACCTCCCCACATTAGGACGGTACATAGAAACTCAATCTAACATGGTGAACAAATTGTCAACCCCAGGGACGATTGGATGAATCAAGGTTTCTGTGGGTTTAATGCAGAATAAGCGCAACATATCAGAGCCATTGCTACTTCTCTCCTAGCATATGTGGCCTGACATTTAACAGGAAGACACGGAGCAGGAAAGCACTTTTCCAGCCCTTTATTATGGCACAGCAATATGAGCATCCAGAGTCCTGCTCTCCCTCATAGATTCATACAGGCTTAATGTACCTCTCCCAAATCCCATTAGCTGACAGGCTGTTGAAACAGCTTGAATATGTGAGGCTCATGCTTGAGGGATCGGACCAAACTGGAAGGCCTGGCACCTAGTCAACTCGACAGAAGTGGCTGCCTCTCCTCTTTAGAAAGGCACAGGCGACAAAGAGCTCATCAGTGCTCGCCACTCAAGAACCAGCAGGGAGGCAAACCATACAGTAGTTAACTCGCTAATATGGGCAGTGTGTGAGCAGTCGTTGTACGACTTCCAAAGCTCAATAAGGGCTGGAGGACGGCAAACTCATCGTCCATTTAGCCAGAGCCCGCTACTGTTAGTGGCGCACAAAGAGGCTTTTGTTGTTTTGATTTTTTTAATTTATAGTTGCATTACTTTTGCTTGGGTAACTCTTTTGAGTTCAAGCTTTATGTTAACCTTCCTGGAGAGGGAAATGACATACCCTGAGGGTGTTTCTGTGTTTTACCGGGACAGAAAAGAAAGCCAATCTTTTACGACATATTGCGGTCCTCCTCTCCTGAAAGAGCACAAGTAGGCTTATAGCTGTTTCCACAAAATAGGTCATTTCATTTAAAGGTGACAAACATATGTCATTTACGGTCACACAGAATGCCCCCCCCCCTCATTTCTGTCCATGTGTAAAAAATGGGAACGTAACATTTGGACTTGGCGATCAAACCTTATATCCAATTTGTGTTCCTATCTGAGGGAGAGAGGGGTCCGTGGAGACCCCAGGGCAGTGCTGCCCCTCTCAGTGCTGACATTTCATCTACTGTGTACCACTGAGCTATCAATTAAAACAACAAAACCCACACACACCTCACGACACTGCCTGCTAGTATAACACTGAGAAAACTAAGGTCAGCTACCTTTGATAGTGGCATTACTAGCGGAAGTCCATTTGACTTCGAAAAAGTAAATTCAACTGAATCACTTAGCTTAAGCATGTGAAAACAAAAATATATATATATATACATACTGTTACAGGAGGTTTTGGTCCTCGAGGAGGTTGCATGACTAAAAGCTCTCCAGGCGCGTTATGAATGACAGTGCTGTTTTAGTATTTTTATATATAAGTGTTTATTAATAATATTTAATACTTCAGCTTTGGCAACATTAAATTTTTTTTTTTCATCTAATAGTTATAATTTATTTTATTTTAACTAAAACAACACTAGAATATGACTGATGAATGTTGCCACTGCACTCAGTAATTTTTTTTTTAATTTGTAGAAAACTTTTATCATGGGTCTCCAAATGAAAAGCCCAGGCTCGAGAAAAAAGGTCCAGTTTTCTTGAGTGAATTATCTTGCCTTAAAAGGATTTTGATGTTTACTCACACAATCTGGAACACTGTAATCTGAATCTATAACACTTGATGTGTAAATTTGGAATGCAGTAATTACTGTCTTTTATAAATGCACTAATAATTGTCTCTAATAATAGCTGTTTACCATTTACAGATGCCCGGTTTGTGAATATGTCCTCCTACCAAGACAGAAAACTGCATCACACTGAACCACGGTCTAAGCTGGTACCACACCGAAACACCTAGCAGTCCTGCCAAAGTAAAGTTTGAGGTAAACTCCCAAAATTGACTAGGATGGGGCATCGTTGTTCAATGTTCAATCTTGGAAATATTTGTCCAGTGTGTTTGTAGACGGTGACATGGTTTTAGTGGCATGGTTCAAAATCTGCACACTACAGGTACAGGCATACAGGAGGTGTATTTGAATAGCTAGTCTTGTATTTCTTTTAGTAGTTTTAGTTTTTCTTGGATGGGCATTGCCCACCTGTAGCCACCCCCTTGAGCTAAATTTATCAAAATCATTACAAATTATATACTACCCATCATGCACTATAATTGCCATTGTGCAGAATTTTCATTAGGGCGAATTCCCAGTACAAATGCCTTAATAACTACACATTTTTCTGATAGTTTATATTGTTTGTTAGATTTTAAAAGTGTCTTGACCAAGAGACCTTCCACGATTAATGCACATTTTCATAAATAAAGAGATATTCTAGTATCAGTTTTTCTAATGAGATAAGAAGATGTGGCTTGTCCAAAGTGAATATGAATGCCATTTTTCATCATATTCATCAACCACTCCATGCTGATGGGTTCATTACCATCAAATTAGAGATAAAAATCGTGCTACTGCCCTGAAATGATGTGGAAAGGCAGCGCTGATAAGATTAATGATGAATACATTAGCGTTGAGCTAGCCATAAGACACATCTCAGATTTCTCGCCATGAGCACATGCTGAACAGATACCACTTATAATTGAGTCGCACCAGTGCTGACATCATGCTAGAGTATGGCTTACACACACACACACACACACACAGGTTTACAAGTGGGGACATCCCATAGGCGTAATGGTTTTTATACTGTACAGACCGTATATTCTATTGCCCTTTACCAACCCTACCCCTAAACCTACCCCTTACAGGAGACTTTGTGCTATTTCAGATTTTCAATACACTCCAATCTGTGTGGTTTACAAGCATTTTGAAAAGTGGGGACATGGGGTAATGTCCTGAAAAGTCACCTTCTCCTTGTAATACCTATGTCATACCTTTGTCATTATACAAATTTATGTCCTCATTTGTCACAAAAACGCGTATACACACACACACACACACACACACACACAGGTGAGGGGGTCAAATCTGTAAACTGGGTCCAGAAAAGGTGCTGAATTAGAGCTTGTTCATATTTTTTGGCTCTACAGTGCTGTTTGTCTCATTGGCAGGGCTGTGCGTAGTTACGATGTAGACTGTGTGCTCATCGGCTTGGCGGTGGCAGACATCGCAGAAGTCAGGGGACAGCCGACGGACGGAGCCAAGACTCTGTGACAGATCGCCACAGCTGACAGCCTTTAACGTCCCATCTAATTTATGTCGTGTAGGGAATGGGAATGAAATGTTAATAAAGAATCTCTGCATCACATATTCTTAACTGCAGCCTCAGGCCTCACTCTGCATCTGTCATGGAGATGAATACAGAGAAAGGGAAGGAGGAGGGAGTACAGGGTGGCACAGAGGGATGGCGAGTTATCTTTATACATGTAGCTGAAGCCAAAGTCATTTTAGACTTAAAATGAGCAGGCTTAACAAGCTCAGCAAAATGAGTACCGTGTTTACAAAATAAGCCACTATAGTTGCTATTAGTTCCGAATCGTAGATTATATCCTGATTGAGTGTTCAGGCAGTTTGAATTGACTGAGTGAGTGGCTAGCATTTATCTCATGTCTCAAGGCTGTCATTAAATAGATTCTCTTGTCTGATTAGTTAAACATGATATTGAGCTGTTTGGATTTCCTCCAGCCAGGATGACAAATGAGCCGGGTCATCTTACACAGCCAGGCCTGAAGAGGGCAATGTGTGCTTGTGTCAAGATTAGACATGTTTCTCACACCTTTCAATAAATGACTGCAAATTCTGTCTAAATGACTGCCTATGCTTATTTTTTAATGTTAAGCCTAGTTAATATTTAACTTCTGTGATTCTGTTTTGTACAGACCAGTTTTGAAATGCTCTTTGCAGTCTTTGTTAACATGCAAGTGCTTTAAAATATATCAGCAAAGCAGAAATTAATTAAAAAACACATTTAACCCTGTAAATCTTGGCATGATATAATAGTCAGAAAAATCCATTTAAAAAAGGAACACAAAAAAGTATTAAAAAAATTCCAATCAAAACATTTGCGTAAGTGATTTATATTTTGTATCATATTTGATACATCAGGCTTTTATGGCCCACATAATATAGTGAGAATACAGTGCTCAAAGCTCTGAACTTTTTTAATTTGTTTTTATATATATATATATATGTATATATAATGCAATATAATGATGATTGAGAGATGTAAACGTTCCTCAATAGCCTGATGTTTTTTTTCAAAATTGTGTATGGATTGCTTTCCCCAACTGAGACTCTTTAGTTCAGTAAATGTTCACACAAACTAAAAATAAAAAAAAATAAAAAAATAGGCATGAATAAGATTGTGTACAACAGGTTTCTTTCAGCAAAGTTTTGATCATGTTGATAACTTGAACGATATAAACGAAAAGTGTAACATGATCATCTGCATGCCCGCTTATGAATCATTGTGATTTCATGATCCTGTCTGTTTATAGCCATTTAAAACATGGGCAGTTGTCACGAGTAACCTAGTGGAAAGTAGCCTAAATGGAAAAGTTGGTTTTAAATAGTTTTTGGTAATTACCATGAGGTTAAAGTTAATATATCTCACACAGCAGGAGGGTTTTATGGCCTTTTGCTTTGTATTGCCTACCCAGTTACCCCAGCACTCAGAGCGCAGGCAGACATGCGAGAAATTAAAAGTGAGGCCGAAACAGATTACTGCTAAGTGCTCCGATGTTCAGGCGAGAGAGGAAAGGTGGACACTAAAGGACTTTTAGAGAATCAGAGGACATCCGTATAGCCAAATAATAGATAAGGAAAAAATGGTCTGAAAAGAAAGAATCTCATATCTGTAATGGTCAGTCGTTCAGGTGCTGTGCCTGGACCATTGAGTTTTGTGGTCCGATTCAATTTCCGATATTTTATTGTGGCACTGCCACTCCATTAAGACTCATTTCCTTCTCACCAGTAGTGACTTTGGGGGACCCGAGGAATTTGAAGGCCAATTGACTTTTAATATGAATCACGCTGTGATTGCCCCATTCTCGTCCCCCGCCTACAAATTAGAAATGGCAAACAGAGTGTCCCCATCAAAACGCTCTTTTCATGTTTTCCGTTCATGCACCAAAAGTCCCCCGGCTCCACCCCTACTGCAGCAGTGTGTGTCTGGGTTTCTCTGTGTGTGAGTGAATGGATCAGGTGACCAGGTAACATGTTGCAGTATATATTGCTGTCACAGACACTTTTGTTTAGGCTTTCACATTTCAAGAAGACATTGAGGAGACAAATGAAAACTTTTTTTTTTTTGTAGATTAATTGCACTTCTAAAGTCTTTCTTTAGCGACCTAGAGTGTACAAATGAATATGCAAGTAATATAAGTAGGATTATATATTTTATTTAATAAGTTATGATGGTTTTATACTACTTGTAAATGTAGCAAAAATGTAACCTACCTATGGAAAATGAAATGAAGATGATTGATTACTGTTATCTAACTTGTTAGTGAACAAAAATGCATTCATCCTTTCATTTACACTGCAAAAAAATAATGTAGTACTATTTTGTCTTATTTTCCAAATATCTTCAAAACAAGATAAGTTTAAGCAAAATTGAATATTAAGGTTTTTAAGAGAACTTGTTTTAAGCAAAAATATAACAATTTGAGGCTTATGCTTAAAACAACAAAAATAATACAATTTGTGCCAATCAGAAGAATAAAAACGTCTTGAATTAAATAATCATCTTATGCAGCTTTGCATTTCAAAGAAATTAATCTTGTTCTTCCTATGACTGTTTAATATAATTGTAAGCAAAATTGCATATTAGTTTTGTTTTCAGATTATACCTTAAATCAAGATTTTTTTCTTGTTTTCAACAAAAATATATCAATTTGAGGCTTATGCCTTAAACAAGAAAAATATATGCCTAAACACTTTGTCTTTTAATTAGAATCAAGTTTTTATCTTATAAAGTTTAATTTTTCAAGTAAATTAATCTTGTTCTAAAGACATTTAAGATAAATTTGAGCAAAATTGCATATTAAGATTTTTTTTTACAGATTATATATCTTGAATAAAGAATTTGTTTCTTGTTTTAAGCAAAAATATAACAATTTGAGACATGCTTAAAACAAGAAACGTTATAGTGCAGTTTAGTGTTTTTACTAAAAACAGGACAAAAAAGTACTGATTAAGAAAATAAATTTTGCGATGCATTTTGAGTCTTGCACTTGTAAAAAAACAAGTCACAGACACTTTTTACTTTACACTGTAAAAAATGACCCACATCCCACTACTGTACACAACTTGTGACGACATGGAGCTCACCATGTCAGCTTTATATCGCGCCCCCTACAGGAAACACCTGCACAGTGCCTGCTGCCAGTCCCAAGGCCCTGAAGCACAAATTCATTAGTATGCTCAGACACTCTCTCAGTGTGTGTGGCAGGAGCGGGAGCAGGCCGGCGTGGAGCAGAGGGGAGACAGTATTTTATCCACGCTTGCCAGTATTATGAGGCTGAGCGAGAGATTCACATTATCGTAATGGGAAAGTCAGCGCAGCAAGATGATGCCCCGGAGCCACGCCGCTGATTGGCTGCAAAGCTGTATTTATATATAGCAGAGTGAGTTCACTTTTAGTTCAGCACTGAAGAAGAGAAACAGGCCTGCCTGGCTGCCACTTCATCTACTGCACAGAACACTATAAACTTAGCCTGGAGTTTAGGACTGCATACTTGGCCATGTGTGCTGTGCAGTAAAAAAAAAATGGATGCCCATTTTCAGTCTTTGAAGTTTATGCAAATAACAACTCCATTGACCTTGGTGGACTTTAAAATCGTATTATTTCATATTTTTAAGATGCTAACAAGTTGTGTAAAATTGTTCCTTTCTCCCCCTCTGAATTTAAACGGAAAAATCATGTTAAAATGTTGTAGTTAAAATGTTTGTTTTAGCTGTAAAGTACTTTACCATATATTGTGGAAATTTATATTTGACTTAACAGAGGCAAGTAAAATACTATACAAGTTCTGTTTTTGCAACTAAAGTATAACTATAAATAAATAAGTAAACAATTTAGTCAATCTAAAATTATATTCAACAAAGCAATACAGTTCGCTCTAAGACGCACGGGTGTAAAGCATCACATTTGATAACATTTTATTTCTGTTCTGTTTCTGTTGTTTTCTTTTCAGTTATGTGTATTAGAATAGTGTTTTAAGTTGCATGTTGTGTTGTTTATTTGTTTATTGTTTTAGCATATCAAGTTTGGGGTCAGTAAGATTTTTTTTTTTAATGTTTTTTAATGTGTATCTTATTCTCTACAAGGCTGCATTTATTTAATTAAAATACAGTAAAAACAGTAATATTGTGAAATATTATTACAATTTAAAATGTAATTTATTCCTGGGATGGCGAAGTTGTAATTATTACTCCAGTCTTCAGTGACACATGATCTTTCAGAAATCATTTTAATATGCTGAGATGGTAGTCAGTGGACATTTATTATTATTATTATTATTATTATTATTATTATTATTTAATATTATTTTATTATTATCAATGTTGAAAACAGTTGTGCAGCTTAATAGTTTTTGTGTAAACAGCTGTGGAAATTTAGAAATATTTTGTAACATTATAAATGTTTTACTCTCATTTTAATACAACAATTTGATGCATCCTTACTGAATGCACATTATATATATATATGCATGTATGATATATGATTTAACAAACTTTTGAATGGTATAGTGTTACTGTAATATTCCTTTGATGGAGCCTTATTATTATATTATAAAATTTAACAGGATTGCTGCAGTTTATATGACTTGTGTTCCATATTCTAAGTTTTCTGAAGCCAAAATCCTTCCCTCTGCCCCAGCCTTCACATTAATATTCACAGTCACATTTATATCAGAAGAACCATTCGGTCTTGTTTGTCTTTTTACTAAATCACCATTGAATATGTGGAATTATGGCTTGTGAGAGTTACTGTGAAGCCTAAATTTCAGTCTGTTTCTCACATGAAACTATCGTATAGTTTCAGATGACTGTTTTAATATGCTTTTTTGTCGTTTTTATAGCATGACATTGTCTTTCTGTGAGGGAAAGACATGAGGGTGAGTAAATGACTGTGCAATTTAAATTTTTGGATGAACTTATCCCTTTAACTAACTAACTACCCCTGAGTTAGTTATACACCTCTTTGCTATGTGCGCTCCTATATTTGCACAGCATGCATTCACGCACCAACATGACTTGGGTACTGCTACAGAAATAAAGATGAGACAGTAAATAGTATGACACTAGCCACAGTGGTTTCCCCCTAATCAGCTGAATCCACAGTGCCAAGTCAGAGCTTCTGCCACTGAGGAGAACACTGCATCATTTAAAGAGGAACTCCCCTGGACATGCCTCAAAATTACTGTACAAGAAAAATGCTGACTCTGAAGAGGCTTTTCATATTTTGGAATAATTTGCTCTGTGAAAGAGAAAAAGGATTGAGAGGAGAGAAGAAAAGGAGGCAGGCAGGCAGGCAGAAGTAAATCATAAGGTGGAAATGGCTCATTATGTTAGTGATGAGGCTGGGTAATGCCTGCTTGACCAGCCCAGCGTCTGTCAGACGAAGATGCATTGATTAACCCTTATCCATTACCCTTCAGCCATAGAAAGAGATGCCGCCAACAAATAGATATCACTTAAGTTACTGTAACATGACTGGATGCACTGCTGCATACGTATGGACAGAATATGTGTGTGTGTGTGTGTGTGTGTTTGTGTATGTGTGTGAGATT